ATATCCATAGGTCAATGTATGGTTTTCAATACCGTGTGACTCAATAAGATTTTCAAAATCCTACACACTAATGAGTTAAATCTGGTTTGTTTTTTAGTGTTATGAAGAGTTTTGCATTTATATCAAATTCATCTCAAGTACAAATGTACATATATTGTCCCTTTATTGTACAAAAAGTGTAGTAATAAATTAACAAAATTTGTTTCAAACGTTAAAATGTTCGTCCACAACAATTTTTTGTAAATCAGTCTAAAAAACGGAGGACAGGATTGTTTGTGTCTTTATCCACAGCACACAGTAACTAGTATCAAAAGAATTCAATGTTTAAGTAAGATAAATTTACTGTAAATTATAGTTTGCATTTTAATTAAGGAAAATAATGACCTTACACAGGTCATTATTTTATGCCTTGAAGCAAATTTCATTGAAAATTGGTATCGTCTGGGTTGATTCTTTAAAATTTAAAAGGAAAAAATAAATTCTAATTGATGTACAGTCACTTCTATGTCTGAAATAATTATAAGGTGTATACACATCTACATGTATATGGCAGCTGGTACATCTGACCTTGAACTCATTTTCATGGATCATTGCATTGTTCAATGTTAAGTTTTCCAGGTTTAGCTTATTTCTGAGATGCTATCATAGCTGTATATATATATGTATATGCAATAGGTCAACTGTGTTTGATTTATTGAATTATTATTAGGAGTGTATGTCTGTTTATCTTACCTTGACTACATTTGAATGATTCATCGGTCAATGGTAAGTTTTACTGGTTTAGACTAGTCGATTTCTCAGATACTGTAAAATAGGTCAACTTTTGGTGTATAAAATTATGAGGCATGCATGTCCGTTTAGCAAGGTTCATTTTACCTTGATCACATTTACACTGACCAAATTGAACATCTTTGTATAACTTCAAATTTCAAACTCCTTTATTGCCCAAAGATTGGCATTATAAACCATAACAAAATCGGAGATGCAATATAACCACTTTCATTCATAAAACTGTCATATTGATTTGATATGATTTGGTATAAAAACGTTTAAATAATTAAATGTTTTTTGTATAGTCAAATTTTCAGGGCAAATGTGTTGATCTTATTTTAAAATGTCGAATTAAGGCAATTTTGCCAGTTATTATAACTTCCTTTTATGCAATTAAACACTTTTCTTTTAGCATTTTTAATGAAAGTACATGCACTCAGAGAAGTAGGAGAAGATAATCAACAGAACTGAAGTCATTACATGCAATGCTTTCTAGATTATATAGACTACTAGTGGATTTGAAAATTGCTGTACTGATTCATGTGCAAATAAGGAGCAGCAGCCAATTAAACATTGTGTGATGAAAGGTATGTCATAAAAGTTATGCCTTTTTTTAAATATTTTTTTGTTTTCAGACTTACAAGTAATTTTGAGGTCATAGAGGTGAAAGTTTTCTTTCTTGGGCTAGTTTGAAAATTAGCCATGTTAGCCGTAACAAACTATTTATTTTAATTGGTCAATTTTATATAAAATTGCATTGGAAGCTCTCTTAACACTACATGGCTTCTTCTTTTTAGCTCAACTGCCCAAAAGTGCCAAATGAGCTTTTCTCATTACTTGGTGTCCGTTGTCCGTTGTCCTCTGTTATTTTTTACAAAAATCTTCTCCTCTGAAACTACTACAATGTAGGCCAAATTCAACCAAACTTGGTCACAATCATCATTAGGGTATCTAGTTCAAAAATTTGTCTGATGACCCCACCTGCCAACCAAGATCGCTGACATGCCTAAAAATAGAACATAAGTGTGAAATGCAAGATTTATCTATTATTTTGAAAACCGTTATAATAAAGAAAATCTGACAGAGGCGGAACTGTCAGACAACTTCTAATAGGATTTGTATCCCTAAAATGACACATTTTACCTTTTTTTTTATTTTTGCCTATTATTTGTATCTAAAAAACTATAATACAATGTAGATTGAGAGAAACTTTGAATTGAAAAAAATTGAAAAATGATCACCAAGACAAGTTATAAAAATAATAAAATTGAGAATAGAAATGGGGAATGTGTCATAGAGACAACAACCCAACCAAAAGACAGAAAACAGCCGAAGTCGACCAATGAGTCTTCAACACAGGGAGAAAATCCTGTACCCCAAGGCTTGCTTCAACTTGCCCCCAAACAAAATGTGTACTAAGTCTGACAGTGAAAATTGAAAAAGGGGTGCGATAAGGGTTAAGCTATGCGATACGGGGTATGTGATACAGGGTAGATGATACAGACTTGAGTAAAGAACCTTTATTAGATATACAAAATATCTGTATTTAGTACTAAATACATGATAAAACCCTGTATCGACCTCATACAAAGGCTATAATTTTATGATATATGTGTAGTTTTAAAAGTTGACTATAAAATAATCACTTACAAAGACCAGTGATTTTTAACTAAACATAGGGACATAAGATGGGTACATAATCCTTAAATCAGTAAATTGTAATAAAATCAAAGTTTTAATTGTTTTAATTTCAGAGGTCATTTCTCCACAAAAACAAGCTAAATGTCAATGGGCCTAATGAAGTCGAGTTTTTCTTGGACTTTAGAGAGAAGTGGAACATATTAGTGATACAGAAAAGGAGAAAATATTACAGTACATGGACACCACATGAGCAAGAAAAGACAAGGTATTATGTTATAAAGTATATATATATATTAATGTTTAAGTTGTGACCTCAACCAATCCAATTATATCACCACTTAATGAAGTGGGTGGTATACAGGATTTACCTTGACCAAATCGACATGTAAACATGAAAAAAAAACATAGAAAATATGGTTAATGTAATCCATCGCACTTCAACGTAATCACCATAGCAATTCAGCAAAGCTATCAATAAGAAAGTGTCACAATGCCATCATCGCATTTCGGCTTGATCAAAAATGCACTTCAGCGTTAAACCATTGCACATCAGCATGACATTCGCGGTTCAGAGTCCTACAGGTGGGATTATGATGTTACTTTTGGATTTCATTACCCTCAACAACAAAATAGTAATAAAATTGAAAACATAAACGGTTGACAAATGACAGTTGAGGATGTGAAAAGAAATTGTTTCCTTTATTAATGAGTCATTTGAGAAGGAAGAAGATAACTGTTTAGATATGTATTCTGAAATTATGTGTGTTTTAATGGTTTTATATATACATAGAATGTATCACTGTACGTAATATTAACCGTAACTTAATTATTTTGCTTGTTTTAGATCAAAGATAGATTGATAGTTACTTGCTGTTATAATAAACATTGCATCTTTTCAGAATCTGCCATGGAAAGAAACTAGTTTGAAGAAGAAAAAAAAAGATGAAGAAATTGACCTTTTTTTTTTACAATATATTTGAAATGTTACATTTGATTATACACTTCACAAATTTTAAAAATAAATTCTGCTACTATAGACAAGAATTTATTATCAATCATGCAATGTTAAGAAAAACTCGCATGCAAAGAAATTGGTTTGAACTTACGCTGACAGGATTGTTAAGGTGTTCTCAACTTAATAATATAATTTGTAAGTGCTCTTCAAAAAATCTTAAAAAAACAGAGGGTCAAAGTGCGAACTGTATAGCTGTAGATTCTTTATTGATTGAAACATCTGCACTCAGATGAAATGCTCATATGGTGCAATAGAATTGATTTCATGAAAGTTTAATTTCAAACACATAATTCAAATAATGACTTATGTTTTGTTCATATATCCTACATGATATTTCTCAAACATATGTTAGACCGCCTCGATTAGTCTGAGAGTGCTTGCCTTGAGTGCAGGGGGTTATTATAGGTTCAAACAGTGGCCGAGTCAATGCAAAGACTTGAAAACTGGTAGGTATTAGCTGTGTCTCCGCTAGGCAAGCAGCATTAATAAGTAAGAGCAAAGACTGAATCGACCGGTAGACAGAATAATGTGTCCAGGTAGGGTGACATGTCTTCCTGCAAACTGTTACTTTGTGAGTTAGCACTTTTAAAATCTGTCTCAGGGTTTCAGTCTAATACAAAGCAGGGTTAGTGCTCATTGCTCATTATTATGATCCCATAACCTGAATATGCATCTGACCTGCCACTGGAAGTAAAGCAACCATCATCCAAACATATGTTTACCATACGGTTTATGAACATGTGTTTACCATACGTTTTCAGACATATGGTTACCATGAACATGCGTTTACCATGTGTTTCAAACGCATGTTTTACATAAACGCATGTAAACTATACGTTCCCCAAACATGCGTTAAACGTACGGTGCTCCAAACATGCGTTTCTGAGATGTTTAGAAACGTACGGTAAATTCATGGTAAACATGCGTTTACATGCGTTGCATTTTTTGCTGTGTAGTTGCTGTGTTTTTTGCTCATGACAACTTAAAATCAATCTGAGAACGTACAAACCATCAATGGACACCAGACGCTCTTTAAATGCAATAATATCCAACAGTAAGCAGCAGAAACCGCAATAGAAAATAACAACACTTTTAATGCTTTCCACTGTGGAGCTAAAATGAGGCGGAGTTGATATAACGCTTATAGAATTAACAGTCACTGTCATCTTTATATCCTGTATCAAAGCACTTGTGCAAGATTCTACATCAATTATTTAAAAAGAAATCAAACGTCTTATTTTACAAGCACAAATCCACGGGAACAAAATACACGCAAGTTATGAAAAAGTTACAAAAAACGCAAACTATAAACACCAAAGTTATTGGCATAAATAATACGAATTCCAACATATTGGTTTCACATTGGTAAAATGGCAAATAAATAATTTGCGAATGCCCAACCCAGTATAGTTCTATGCAGCTATACAAATAAAATTGTCTTTTCTCTTTATAAGTGGACTGCTGAAGAAATTTTATGGGATTTTTTTTAGCGGAAACGCTTTTAAAATTAGAACCAAACTGACTGATGTATAAAAAAGGGCAAACATATAGTTGGCAATACTTTATGAAAAATTCTTTTATTGATGGAGTCAGTGTTGTAAATCAACACATAAGTTGACTTTGAACATTGCATTACTTTCTCTTTATACATCAGCTTGATACATCAGTGTTTTCTCGTATATCTTCTACATGCATGATATGAACATTCATTGTTGTACCAAGTTTTCCTACAAATATTAATTCATACTGAATCAATTGATCTATGTCATGTTTTTTTTTTATAGTGGTTGGTTTTACCTTTTGGCTTTTTTTTACAGATGTTGTCTGATATATAAGGACATTTCTAATGTACCCTTTATATCTTTTTAAACAACTAATTGATTAATATTTCATGTTCAGCTATCTGTCTTTTTTTCTTAATGAATTAGGAAAAGGAAGCAGGAAAATCTAAATGGTTTTTCTTAATCTAATTTATATTACAATATTTCATGGACTTTAAACAAGTTCATGAACTCCTCTTTGAATTCCCATCCACTTTCATCACCAAACCCTGGACACTGAAAGGATCCTTTCAGGGTACATTCTCAACAATAACAACGTTTTAATCTAATTCATATTGCAATATTTCATGGACTTTCAACAAGTATCTGCTTATTCTATGTAAACATCCGGGTTTTAACAACATTAAGGCTGTCGCGAAAGTAGGAAAAGGCTATGATTATGCTTTGATATAAAATAATACGATATGATTGCCAATGAGATAACTATCCAACAGAGTCTACACATGCAGCGGGTTTAAAAGTTTAAGCAGTCATAGGTCACTGTACGACCTTCAACAATGATTATGTTCCCTTTGGTCATATAACTTCTCGCGTATTCCCGATCAGGTATATGTACCTCCCTGTCCTTCAAATATTAAATTTTTGCGGTCTGAATGATGGTGAATAAAAAAAGCGCTTCGGAAGCACTGCATTTAACGACTATGTCAGTTGTAATCAATAGAGATTTTCAGGTATGACAACAAATTGAAATTTCAATTAAACAAATAAATAATAACATCAACTAACGAACATTAAGGGTCCTCAACATTGTTTTATGCAAATATCTGATCACTGCAATGAGTGCCGTTTATCATAAAGTATTGTAAATTAGTTCATATGGATACTAAATTGATAAGCAATTGATATAGTTCAGTAATTGGTAACATTATACATGATCATACCCGTCAATTCGATATTCTAGACGCCGAATTAACGAACAGATTAAAAGAAGCACTCTAAAAATATTACCAACCCGTTATCAAAGGTTGTGAAACCAGTCATTACTTTCCCTTTGAATACTCTGTAACTCCCACCATCTATAGCAACAGTATTCAAATGTTCTGTACAGTCCTTATCATAGTACTCGATGTCTACAAACAAAGATTGTTACACCAACTTTTATTGTATTGTCTTTCTGTGATTTGTAAAACAAAATGTTTTACAGTTTTATTTTGTATTATCAGTCATAGGTAATCTCGTGTTAACATGTTCAAGAACTCTACAAATGAATATTCCACAAGAAATTTATTACTCCTTTCATTATATACTAGATGTCTTAAAAGATTACAAAACCCATAAAGAATGTAAACTTCGATCTCTGTTTATCTGAACAACATTCATTCTAAAGTTTAAACAATCCATGTACTATGAGATAGTAATTGATGAGGGAAGTATTTGTATAGTTTACCTGGGTCCTCACAACAGCGAATGATCTTGAACCCCTCTTTGTATTCCCATCCACTTGCATAACCATACCCTGGACACTGAAAGGGTCCTTTAAGGCTAAATCCTTCACAATAACGAGAAAAGATCATTGTCATAAAATTGTAACAAAATGTAAAGAAATTCTAATTAAGATACAGTATTATATTTTCAAACTATGAACCAGACAGTTTATGTAAGATTAAAGGAATACCAGTGTTTATTCAATACGTATTGTCCCGCGTACCAATCTATCTATACATTTATTCATAACATTTGTTTTTTTCTATTTTGTTGTTTGTGATTTATGTTTGTTTCCTCAAATTTAGGCAACAACTGTTAACCGATGTTCAATTCTCGTAAATCGATCAGGAAGAGACGAATCAAAGCAACTAACGAAATCTGATTGAATAGCATAAACACCAAAACGAGCGAGACCGTATGCGTCGCCAGACTAAGCTTCTCCTGCTATGCAAGCGTCAATCCCAATGCGAATTAACACTCAGTAAAAATTTCAAAGTCAAGAATAGGACACGATTGGTCAAATTACAAATCAGACGAGTTGAGACACCGACACATCGTATCATTCAACAAATTCGTTATCGTGACCGTATAAATTATGTAGTGTCGACTTCACTCTTTCTTCTTCATCACTCTGTTAGAACATTTTTTTTTTAGTACGGAGCACATTCCTGATAAATGACGTCCGTGTAGTGTGAAAATGCTATACGCAGATATTTGAGCTAAAAGTCATATTTAAAATAATTGTTCAGTAAACCTATTACTGTTTAAAATAACAGGCAACAGTGGGTACGATACTTAAATAGCAGCACGATGGGTGTCACATGTGGAGCAGGATCTGGTAACTCTTCCGGAGCTCCCGAGGTAACCCCCAGATTTTGATAGGATGCATTTTCCTCAGACTTTAGTTTTCTATGTTGTGTTTTGTATACTGTTGTTTGTGTTTTGGTCTTTTTCTTTTTTGACATAGCGTTGTCAATTTATTTTCGACTTATAAATTGAATGTCCCTTTGGCATCCATCTCCTCTCTTTTAAATACGAATGTATATTGGAATTGAAGGCAACCAAGCGTAACCAGAAACAGGCATATCATTGGTGGATTACAGAAGGGAACCTAATGATGTTTACCTTTAACTAGCTTGTGTGTATTGTAATTTCTTTTTGTATTGTTTGAATTTGTTTGAATTACATATTTTTTAAGGATGTAGTGATTTCAGGTTTAGGAATTTTTGTCAGACTACTTGGGTTGTTTTTCTACGATGTAGGGTAAAATATGTTGTACCATATCACCAACTTTTCTTTTCATAGAAGACTTCATCAGCTCACAAAAGGTCATTATCAAAATTTAAGCAGATTCTAGATTTCTTTTCTTACGATATGAGACCCAAATACTGCCAATGCTAAAAATAAGGTAAAAACCCGAGTCAGCCTTTTTCCCACCATTTATTTTTTAAATCAAATCTCTCGAAAATGAGTTCCATAACCTATCAATATTTTAATCCTTAACTAATGTTCTTCTGATTTAAAGTATCAATTTTAAATTCCAGATTCTTTTTAATTTCAATTGACTACATCCTTAATAACTATTAATGATAAGGATAAGAATAATACTTACGAATATTTTGGCATTTTACATTTCTACCTGGCCCAGGTTTACAGGTAAATGGCTGTGGATAAGGAAAAAGTTCATCAGGAGCATAACCATCTACACAAAAATGCCCAAAACTAGCAGTCCTCCTTGTAAACTTACTACCATTTGTCACACATGGTAGAAAGATACCAAAAACAAGTAAAATGAATCCTATGAAAAGTGAAAAAAGCTCTTAAAATAATTATGAACACAGATATAAAACCTGGTAGTGAAAAATGGTTTATTTTTCGCGGGAATTAAATTTCGAGCTTCTAGAGTCCCGATGTTTTGATTCATTTCTATTTTAGTTCTTGATTCATTTCTTCCTAAAAGATTAAATTCAGGCGATGACTGTTTGTAACAGTATTGCCATGTTTTAATCATTCTTTTTCGTATAAAAGATAAATGTGATTACCTTGCAAAGATTAGATAAGCGCCTTTTGCCTTTTGCTTGATGAATTTTACGTTAGTAGTGGTTTGCAGTAGAGTTTAATATGTGCAATTAGGGAGTTGCTACGCTCCCTTACTGTTATAATATCTGGTGGCTGGATAAAGTTCATAACGTAAAAATAAATAGTTATTTCGATGTCGCGTAATTGCACAGACTGGCTTGGTATCGACCGGCTTGAAAAAAAAATATTTGCAACAATAATATGTACATAGTTTGAAAGTGAAGGTTCGGAGCTAAGAAACAACTTACCTCCACTTGTTCTTGTATACTATGTTTTATAATTTCATTATGTGTAACAATGTGTAAACAGTTGTTTTAACGAAAACCGTTGTCTTAAGCTTGTCTTACCCGGTCTTGTGTATGTCCTTAGTATGGAGCTTCGTAAGTTATTGTCTCTCGTCCAGATTTTATGTCTTTTGTATTCAGTGTTCAGTGGAAATCTAGTTTTTAGAATTCTAAGACATGTTATTTACAACACTTCCCATCAATCAAAATTGTGTATTTTGTAAAATCACATGTCCATCGTTAAAGAGGTTCTCTTGAATTTTGTGCCATGTGGATGAGGGGGTCTTTTTTTTGTCGGTGCATTTATGTTGATAGGTATACCCCTGAGATGAAACCATTGTGTACTTTTTTAGACAGCGTATCAGGAAATACTAGTTTAAAGAAGACAGAAGATCATCTCTATTAAATACGTTGAAAAGCGAAGAAAAAATAAACGAAAGAACATCAGGCAAATATAATATGCAAAAAATGACGCGTTGTTTAAAAGACGAGAGGCATTACAGGCAAAACCCTTTAGAGTATAAACATCAAAAAGTAAAAATCTTGGTATAATAGCAAACTTCTATCAGCCAAAAATGTTAAGATAATTAAAGAAAATTATGAAAATATTAGTAAATAAAATAATGTGAAGGCTTTATCATCAACAATTATCTATCACATAAAAAAAATCAGGTATCAGAGATAAAAAAAAAAAAAGCGGACAATGATGACAAATGGGAAAAAAAATAAATTATCAAGGCTAAATTATCCTTCAAAACGCTATGAAAAGAAGATTGTTGTATGGTTGTATATAGAACAACTATGTTAAATAGACAGAACTTAGTGGAAGCATGCAGCTATTGGTCACCCTATTTCCTGCTTGCTATATAAGTTTACATGTCATCAAATGTAGTGCTACAGGGCATATTGATTAACAATTTTGTTATAGTTTCAAAGACTTTCCATTAATCGAAATTGTGTATTTTCAAAAATCACATGTCACTGTTCTCGTGACTTTCAAAGACGATTAAGTTGTACAATTGGGTAATTTTGTGAAAGTTCGAAACAAAAAGGTTCGTCAGTTTTTTTTGTCTATGCAATTGTATGTGCAAGTATTTCAAAAAGATAAATCACAAACTAGTAGACTAGACATGATCTTTTTAGTCAGAATTTTTACCTATTATAGATTTTTGTAAAATTAAACCTGCTGTTATACAGTCCACTGATCATCAAAGTGTATTTCTAAAATTTAAGTCAGGGTTATTTGAAAGGGGAAATGGGTATTGGAATATAAATAGTTCAGTATTACAAAATAGAGATTACCAAGAATTAACTTATTAACTGCTTGATTGATAAATATTCATTTAAAAGGGATACATTAGATTTTATGGAATGGTTTTAAAAGCAAGGTAAGGGAGGTAACTACAACTAATTGTAGAAATAAAGCGAAGTTCACAAGAGAGCGAAGGCGTAGTTTAGAAAAGGACCTGGAACAAAAAATGGAGCTTACAGATGAGAGACATACTGATGAAAATTATAATTTGGAAAAAGAAATTAATGATATAGAAAAAGAATAAGTAAGATTTATGATGAAAAAGCAAAAGGGGCACAAATTAGATCTAGAGAAAAATGGGTTGAGTTTGGGGAAAAGAACAATTCGTATTTCCTTGGTCTAGAAAAGAAGAGGCAAGTGAAAAACTCTGTAAGTAAGCTTAAAGGAGATGATGGGGAACTAATTTCTAATCATGAAAATTTACTCTACAAACTAAAAACATTCTATGAAAACTTTTATAATGTTAAATCTTCAAATAAAAATTTAACTAAAAAATATATCAATGACACAAAGCTAGAAAATAAAGGAAAATGAAATTAAATAACTCTTCAGGGTTTGATGGCCTCACGGTAGAATTTTATAGACAATTTTGGGATAAACTTAAACTATTAGTTGTGGATGTTCTGAATACTGGCTACGATAGACAATGTTTATCATATTCACAACGTACCAGTATATTAACTTTGATATTCAAAAAAGGAGATCCTTTACTTTTGGAAAACTACCGTCCAATTTCACTTTTTAATATAGATTTTAAACTTTTGTCATATGTTCTAGCTCAAAGATTTAAAAAGGAACTTTCAAAAATTATCAATGAAGATCAAACCGGATACATTAAACATAGATTTATTGGGTTTAATCTGAGACAAATTTAAGATGTTATAGACTATGCAGACACATACAATATTGAGGGGGCAATAGTTTTTGTAGATTTTACAATAGCATTTGATTCATTGGAATGGGATTTTATGTTTGGAACTTTGAAGCATTTTGGTTTTAACGAATCATTTATTAACTGGGTTAAAACAATGTACACAGATATACAAACATGTGTTATTAACAATGGGTGGGTATCAGAAACTGTCAAAAATTCACGTGGAATAAGACAAGGATGCCCTTTGTCGGCTCCTATTGTTTGTTTTTGCTGTTGAAATTATGGCCCAAAGATTGAGAAATAATAAAAATGTAAAGGGTGTAAATGTAAAACTTGATGGGAAAAGTCATAGTATGAAGATTTCACAATTAGCTGGCGACACAACACTTTCTTGCAAAGATAAAAACGATGTGGTAACTGCAATGAACGAAATAGAAATTTTTGGTTCTTTTTCAGGTTTATTATTAAATTGAAATAAAACAGAGGTCTTATGGATATGGAAATTGAAATCTTGTAAAGATAAAATTGTCGGGATTAAGTGGGGAGATAAACCTATTAAAGCTCTAGGGGTGTTTTGCGGGCATGATAAATTGAAATGCCAAAAATTAAATTGGGATTGTAAAATGAAAACATGAATAAATTATTTATGATATGGAAAAAACGAAATCTATCAATTTTAGAGAAAATCCTAATTATAAAGATTTTAATATTGCCCTTATTTACATTCCTGAAAAGCGCCTGTCTAATTTCAGAACATTATTTAAAAGAAATAGAAAACAGAAGCTTTAAATATATTTGGGATGGGAAACTAGACAAAGTTAAAAGAAATCTGATGATAGGTCCATATGAAAAGGGGGGTTTAAAAATGGTTGACTTTAAAAGTTATTTTGTGACTTTAAAAGCATCATGGGTAAATAGATTGGTAAATGGTAAACTTTCGACTTGGAAGCTTAAACCATTTAAATATTTAAATGTTTCAAACAGAATTCTGTCAATATTAAGCATGAATTTGAGCGATATTAAATCTCTAAAATATTTTAAAGATGTTCCTGAGTTTTATAAAGAAGTAATAAAGTCCTGGAATTTGAGTGGCGGGGGGCAAACGATACTTAGTTTTTCTATCTATTAGTCATATTATGTATCCGAGCATAGAACAAAAATTGTTGATGTCTATAGTATTTTTGAAAATGAATTTAATAAAAGAGTAGACACAAATAGATATAATTCAACATGTCCAATGTTATTGTCAATTAAAAATAATTTTAGCAATAGTTAGTCTTTATGTAGGACACTTGTACATCTTTATAAGTTACTAAGTTTAATCAGCTGTTTATTTCCCTGGATAATCAGTGGAGTGTAACAGGGTAAATCAAGAGAAGCTTGGACTCTTGGTGAGATTTGCAACAAGCAAGATTTGATGAATAAATATTATTATGTAGTTAAAAAAATATATATATATTTACATAATGAAATAAATATGGCATCAGCAGAATTTGAAGAGCTCAAAAAGCCTCATATTTGGAGTTAATAAAAATGTTAATGATTTTTCACAGCAACTTGAGAAAGTTGAACATAACTTAACGGGTATGATCAATGAAGTGAAAACTGACGTCAATATATTAAAAACAAAATATGATGCATCTCAAACAGAAATAAAAAATCTCAGACGAGCCTTATAGAGCTAGAACAGGGTGTTGCAGGTATGGATTTGCAAATACAAGCAATTGAAGGTAAAAAACTACAAAAACAAAAATTTGAGGTTCAAACCCAGATGAATGAAATTAAGGACAAGGTAACATTGCTTGAAAAGCACGAAAGGAAATACAATGTTATGATTTATGGTTTTGATGACAATAATGTAGATGAGAACATCTATTCAGTTACTCGTCAGTTGTTCAGCCAAAATCTAAATGTTAACAAAGAAAAGCAAACGCCATCCCGATTGATAATGCTCATCAAGTACCAACAAGGGGTAGTGGACCCAAACCAATTATTGCTGGATTTTTACACTATGGAGATAAACAACTGATAATGTCGAGTGCCTACAATCTGAAAGGTACTCAAATTCGTATTCTAGACGATCTACCAGTATCAATGAAAGAGAAAAGATTCCTTCTGTCTCATGTAGCCTACAAAATACTCAAAAAAGAAAAATTACAAACACGTATTTCATTTCGAGATGTTGGGGAACACATGACTTTTGACATGCGTAAAAATAGAGGGACACTTGGAGCTTAAGAGAATAATGA